TGTGACTATTAATGAGACATGTCGAATTATCACGGGGTGTCTGCACCCTACACCACTGGAGAAACTACACTGTCTAGCCGGTATTGCACCACCTGACATCCGCTGGGAAGTAGCAGCCAATAGTGAAAGGACCAAGGCAGTGACATCTCCAGCCCATCCCATGTTTGGGTATCAGCCAGCACATCAATGACTTAAATCAAGAAATAGTTTTCTAAGAGCTACAGAGACACTCGCTGGAACACCCCAGCAAGCGAGAGTCCAAAAGTGGCAGGCTCAAACCCAGAACCTCAATCAATGGCTGATACCAAATGAGAGACTCCCCCCTGGGCACACAGAAAACTGGGTGACTTGGAAGGCGCTGAACAGACTGCACTCTGGCACCACAAGATGCAGAGCCAATCTTAAGAAATGGGGCCACAAAGTGGAATCCACAACATGCGAATGTGGAGAAGAGCAAACCACTGACCACCTGCTGCAATGCAACCTGAGCCCTGCCACATACACAATGCAAGCCAGTGGGATTTTGGCCTGCATCAATAGGAGCATAGTGTCTAGATCCAGGGAAGACATGCTTCCCCTCTATTCTGCCTTGGTTAGACCACACCTGGAATATTGTGTCCAATTCTGGGCACCACAATTGAAGAGAGATATTGACAAGCTGGAATGTGTCCAGAGGAGGGCAACTAGAATGATCAGGGTCTGGAGAACAAGCCCTATGAGGAGCGGCTTAAGGAGTTGGGCATGTTTAGCCTGAAGAAGAGAAGGCTGAGAGGAGATATGATAGCTATGTATAAATATGTGAGAGGAAGTCACAGGGACGAGGGAGCAAGCTTATTTTCTGCTTTCCTGGAGACTAGGACGTGGAACGATGTCTTCAAACTCCAAGAAAGGAGATTCCATCTGAACATTAGGAAGAACTTCCTGACTGTGAGAGCATCAGAGGTGGAGGATATCACACATGTTCTGTTCAACTGTGAGCTGTATAGGAAAGAGAGAGACCATTGCCTTGGACCATACATTATTCGCAAAACACACTGGGATCCACATATTAAAACTTCATTTTTGTTGGCCGGCCAGAATCCTAAAATAACACACAAAACAGCCCTTTTTCTATTCAAAGCAAAACATTGAGAATTGCACATTTAGAATCAATTGGGGTAAACTGTGGAGGTGACACAGATTTTTGACCTGAACGGGATCTGCTAACAGTTTGTTTATTTTAACCTCTTTTATTTTAACCTCTCTTATATCGAGGGTTGTATGTTGTATGTATGACTATGTGTTAAATGTGTTATGTGTTAAATGTTTTGATACGGCGTATAGGCCAATCAATAAATTATCTATCTATCTGACTGTGAGAGCCGTTCAGCAGTGGAACTCTCTGCCCCGGAGTGTGGTGGAGGCTCATTCTTTGGAAGCTTTTAAACAGAGGCCGGATGGCCATCTTTAAGGGGTGCTTTGAATGCAGTATTCCTGCTTCTTGGAAGGAGGTTGGACTGGATGGCTCATGAGGTCTCCTCCAACTCTATGATTCTATGATTCCTAACAGCTGATAAACTGGCTGGGATTTCTGGGAGCTGAAGTCCAAAACATCTGGAGGAGCACAGTTTGAGGAACACTGCTTTAGGGTGCTTCCAGTCAATACTAAAATCCACGCTGAAGCCTCTCAAAAAACAATGTTTTCCTGATTAAAATCTCCGAAACCCCCCCCCCCTTAATTTCACCCTAAAATTTAAGTAAAACGTTTCTCCTGGTTTGAGGAAATGATACACCAGGAAGACGCAAGGAGGGAAATTATGGCAGCCAGGTATGCTTTACTTAATGTTTAGGGGTAAATAGAGGGCTGGGGGAGATCTTTTTCAGTTCCTTCAGAGCTCCCCTTCCAAGGCTTAGAACAAACCACACGTAGCTCTATAAATTAAAACCAGGATATAGAATCTGGCTTGGAAACAAACTTGAAGTCTGTGAGACAGATGAATGAGTTGAATAATATCTACAAAATGAATCTACAAAATGCATATATATCAGCAGTTGTTGTTGTTCATTCATTCAGTCGTCTCCGACTCTTCGTGACCTCATGGACCAGCCCACGCCAGAGCTCCCTGTCGGCCGTCACCACCCCCAGCTCCTTCAAGGTCAGTCCAGTCACTTCAACGATGCCATCCACCCATCTTGCCCTTGGTCGGCCCCTCTTCCTTTTGCCTTCCACTTTCCCCAGCATAATTGTCTTCTCTAGGCTTTGCTGTCTCGCCAGCAGTAGGGTTGCTAATTTCAGACTCGGTGTCTCGTGGTTCCTTCCCAGAATCTTTTTAAGGAATGCTTGGTCAAATAGAAAAGGTAATAGGGCCAGTTGTTCTTCCAGGAGTGATGTTGGAAAGGATTGACAATGTGTGCTTGAGCTGAAATTGAGATTTTTGGTGGAGAAAAACCATTGGGAGCTAGGAAAGCTTCAAAAGGGAAATTGTCCTTAAGAGGTCTGCCAAAGTCACAAAGGAAACCTCTTTGGAAGATGAAAGCAGCAGATTTAAACTCATGAATAGGATGTCACCTATTTGTCATTTGGACCAGAATGCTGTAGGACAGGGGTCCTCAAACCTTTAAAGCAGAATTGATGATAAAATGTTATGCTTAAGCCTTTTTACCTTTTATGGGAGTCACTTCACTGCTACGTCAAATGCTGGAACAAGAAATATTTATTTTGGAGAAAACATCTTACTATATTTTTCCAAAATGGGTTATAAGATTAGGGATCTGTTGTATAGAATTAAAGACTCTCGTATTCAGGTCTATATGATCATTATTGTTCTGAGAAGGTGATAGGTAGGAACTCCCATTGTTTTCCATTATTAGTGTTCTGTCGCACGCTGGTCTTGAAACTACAGTATATTCTGGCGTATAAGACTACTTTTTAACCCAATAAAATCTTCTCAAAAGTCAGGGGTCGTCTTAAACGCGGGTGTAGTCTTATGCGTGGGAGTCGTCTTAACTCTATATATTAACTGGAAAAGTTGGGGGTCGTCTTATACGTCCAGTCGTCTTATATGCCGGAATATACGGTAATTGCTTTTAAAACAGGACGTACAACTTTAGCCCAGCGGGAAGCCAGGGGGCCCAAAGAGAAATTCGCAAGGATTTTCACCGTAAACAGTCTCTAGAGGGCTTGTAAAATATAACAAAGTATTTTATTGGTGAACAATCAACAGAAACTTCTTTTGTCTTCAAAAGGTTAAACAAATGCTTCCAGGCTTTGTTCAAATGGTGGCTTCTAACTGTTACTTTACTCTAAAAGAAAACCCCTTCGCAAACTTCTCCCAGGCTAACTGTGAACCTAAACCTAACTGATGTGGATCCACTACCGGGCTGAACTGCGTCTCAAAACTGAGTGGACCTACCAGTAGGCCTGTAGTCACTTAGCTGGAGTTCTTGATGTTTAAAGCTGTTATTCCCTCTGAAATTCCTCAGGGCTATAAGGCTGTTTCCCTGGGAACCTTTGGGAACCTTTAGATGCTCTTAAGACTGTTTTCCCCCGGGAAGTCTTAAGGGTTGAAGCCTTTGTACAGGAGAAGTCTGTATACATCCTGTACATTGACTTTCCTTGCTGAGACTGACTGAAAATGGCTCCCTTCCCTTCACAATTGTCCTGAACAGGGAGCAGAACCAAACTTAACGATGATGGACAGGGGGCCTGCCCTATAACTGCAAACTTTAATAGGAAGCCACTCTTCTGCAGAATCCCAAGCCTTGGGCTGCAAACAAACACTTAATACAAGGCAAATGAAGTGGGAGCTTCTGGTACAGCTGTACCAGCACAATCAGATAAATGCAGGGTTTTTAAGGAGCTCACTACCTCTGAGGATGCTTGCCATAGATGCAGGGGAAACGTCAGGAGAGAATGCTCCTAGAACATGGCCACATAGCCCGAAAAACCTCAGTGATTCCAGCCATGAAAGCCTTTGACAATCTATATATATAAAAATGCTCTGTGCATAATGAGTACCTTAAAAACAAAAGAACCTATGAATGAAATCACACCAAATTTGGCAACAAAACATCTCACAACACAAGGAGTGACCATCACTCAAAAAAATTATGATTTTGTCATTTGGGAGTTGTAGTTACTGGGATTTATAGTTCACCTACAATCAAAGAGCATTCTGAACTCCATCAACGATGGAATTGAACAAAACTTGGCACACAGAACTCCCATGACCAACAGAAAATATTGGAAGGGTTTGGTGGGCATTGACCTTGAGTTTGGGAGTTGTAGTTCACCTACATCTAGAGAGCACTGTGAACTCAAACAATGATGGATGTGGGCCAAACTTGGCACGAATACTCAATATGCCCAAATATAAACACAGATGGAGTTTGGAGGAAATAGACCTTGACATTTGAGAGTTGTAGTCACTGGGATTCACAGTTCACCTACAATCAAAAAGCATTCTGAACCCCACGAACGACAGAATCGGGGCAAACTTCCCACACAGAACCCCCATGACCAACGGAAAATACTTAAGGCCATCCAATCCAACTCCCCTCATCAGGGCAAGAAAACGTAATCAAAGCCCTCCTGACAAAGAGCCATCCAGCCATAGATAGATAGATAGATAGATAGAGAGAGAGAGAGAGATATGATTCACACACAGAGAGATATAGTATCCTAGATTTGAAAGGGACCTTTAAAGAAGGACAATGATATGTTGCATGTTCCAGGATGGGCAAACCAGACGTTCTCCACATCAACACTGACAAAGAAACAGCAAGAAATACTGTTTACCCACAAGCATAATTATGTATATTAGAAACCAACACTTTCTCATTACTTTATTTTCCAGATGAACAGATTAGGCCACAGCAACACGTGGCAGGGAACAGCTAGTATGTTTTAAAGATCTTTTGCTGAATTCTATTCCTACAGCAGTCTTGAGAATTTCACAGTTGTGGAGCCTTGTAGAGATTGAAATGAGGTGTAATATATCTGTTAACATATCATCTTTCAGGAAAGACAGAAGCTGTAATCAAGAATTTCAGCCCACACTATAAACGCCAGTATGCTGTGTCCTTCTGCAAGCACATCCAGAATGAACTGGAACAAAACAGAGACCTCCAGTCCCAGTTCTTGAAAACAAAGGTAACAGGGAGTGTTTATTATTGTGGTTGCATCTACATCATGTCGTTTAAACTTACTGGAAGGCAGTTTAATAATCACAGAGGGCTGGTTTGGGCCCAAGATTCAGGCTAGATCTACACTGCCATATAAAATCCAGATTATCTGCTTTGAACTGTGTTATGTGGCAGTGTAGACTCATATAATCCAGTTCAAAGTAGATAATGTGGATGATCTGCTTTGATAATATGGATTATATGGCAATGTAGAAGGGGCCTCAGATTTGCCTGCTCTCTCCCTTTTCAATCTCTGGGTCACATATTTGAATTCCCTTCCTGATTTCCTGGTTGCTTTTGTATTCAAAATAAACAATAGTACAGTATATATTCAAACTTCAGTCCTCTGCTTTGCTGTGAGGTTTACTAGGTGCCTTTCCCAATCACCTTTTCTCAACTTCTTGTACTTCACAAAAGGATGCTATTTCATGCAACTAAGGGACAATGCTAACCAAGCTCCTGGAAGACGGAACATTTATTTATTTATTTATTTATTTATTTATTTATTTATTTATTTATTTATTATTCGAACTTATATGCCGCCACTCCCCTGGGGCTCGGAGCGGCTTACAAGAATGGCTAAAATCTAACACAATTTAAAAACAATTTAAAACAGCAATATCAAAAGTCAAAGGCCTGTCGAAACAGGTATGTCTTACATGCCCTGCGGAAAGCTGATAAGTCCCGCAAGGCACGGACTTCAGGTGGCAGAGTATCCAGAGTGATGGTGCCACTGCTGTGAAGGCTCTGCGTCTGGTTGCTGTTAGACGCAAGGTCTTGACACTGAGAATTTCCAATAGATCTTGGTCCTCAGAACGGAGGGATCTCTGGGGTTGGTAGGGGGTGAGGCGGTCCCTCAGGTACATCGGCCCCAGACCATGCAAGGCCTTAAAGGTGAGTACCATCACTTTGAAAGTGATCCGGTGCTCAATTGGTAACCAATGCAGCTGTAGTAAGATTGGTGTTATGTGGCATCTCATCGGAATTCCCGCAAGAAGCCGAGTAGCTGCATTTTGTACCAACTTGAGCATCTGGATCACCGACAGAGGAAGGCCAATGTAGAGGGCGTTACAGTAGTCCAGTCTTGAGATGACCGTAGCCTGGATCACCATAGCTAGGTCGTCCCTGGACAGGTAGGGGGCCAGCCGTCTAGCCTGCCGCAGATGAAAAAAGGCGGTTCTGCTAACGGCGGAGACCTGGGCCTCCATCGTCAGCAGAGGGTCCAAAAGGACTCCCAGACACTTTACCAATGATGACGGGCGTAACGCCTCGCCATCCAGGGTAGGCAGCTGGATATCCCCACTGCCCAGTTGACCCAGCCATAGGATCTCCGTCTTTGCTGGATTCACCCTCAACCTGCTGGCACGCAGCCATCCAGTAACGGCCTCGAGTCACTGATGGAAATAATCGGGTACAGAGTCCGGTCGGCCTTCCATCTTCAGCACCAGCTGAGTTTCATCGGCGTACTGGTAACACTCAAGTCCAAAACCTCGAAACAGCTGAGCAAGTGGTCGCATATAGATGTTAAACAACAGAGGGAATGGCTCCCTGAGGAACTCCACAAGATAGAGGGGACATGTTGTAAATAGCTAGCCAGTAGGCTTGGGCAATCCATGGTTCTAAATGGTTCTAAAGTACTTACAAAACTAAAGTTCTGGTGGTGAAAATTTCAGAACTCTAACAAAGCTCTCAAAATTTCATAATAAATGGCAGTTCCTAATTGGTTCTGTCATTAAAATCACCAATAATGAAATAATAATTAAATTTTGAAAGTTTTGTTAGAGTTCTGAAATTTTCACCACCAGAACTTTAGTTTTGTAAGTACTTTAGAACCATTTAGAACCATGGATTGCCCAAGCCTACTAGCCAGTATCATTGTTATACTGGACTATGACTGCCACTCCTTGTTTTTGTTTTCTTTTTTCTGGAATGAATAGATTGTGAAGGAATTCACAGAGCTAATTCTATTTCTCTGTAACATATTAATATCTTCCACAGCCTCCTGCAGAATCTGACATGGTCTTCTATGAAGGGGAATCATTACACTTTGCTGAAGACCTGAAGAAATGGAAGGACAGATACATAGTGATTAAAAGCAACTATACTGTGGAGAGCTTTGAAAATAAAGAGGTAAACTGGTGATTTATCAAATAGCGAGGCTTGGTGTTCAGAAGTATTGAATTAACCTGCTCATTTCTGAAATCCCAGCATTACCCAGCACACTAAGGAGTTTGCTTTTCATCAAGTAAAAATAAGTGGCATTCAGAGGCCCCTGACTCGTTTTGCATCCAGTTTGATTATCCAAAATGGGATCTATTTGGATTCAACCACTTTGGACCTATTCCACGCACTTCAGATTCGAAATCTGGGGTGCAACTTGTTTCAGCCCTGGCTCATGAAACTCATAATGAGGAACTTTGCATGCGTTGTAGCAATCCAACCCTGGGAAAGGCCACATTTTGTCCACACCTGGACTAAATCCAATTGTTAGTCCCCATTAGTGTATACCCACTACTTCCATAGGAACATGATATTATTCCCATTAATTCAATAGATCTAATCTTGCTGAAAGTAAGATTTGGATCTAGCCCAAACAGGCAAACAAACTAAACCAAACAAGTACAGACAGGATCCAATCCATGTTCAATCCAGACCAAACTGATCCACTTGGACCTAATGCAAAGGGACGTGTAGCTCAAGAGCAGCAGGTGTAAAAAAAAACCTCGGAGTCCTCATGGACAACAAGTTAAACATGAGCCAACAATGTGATGCGATGGCAAAAAAAGCCAATGAGATTTTGGCCTTCAGCAATAGGAGCATAGTGACTAGATCCAGGGAAGTCATTCTACCCCTCTATTCCGCTTTGGTTAGACCACACCTGGAATATTGTGTTCAATTCTGGGCACCACAGTTGAAGAGAGATATTGACAAGCTGGAATGTGTCCAGAAGAGGGCGACTAAAATGATTAAGGGTCTGGAGAACAAGCCCTACGCGGTATAAAGAGCTGGGCATGTTTAGCCTGAAGAAGAGAAGGCTGAGAGGAGACATGATAGCCATGTATAAGTATGAGAGGAAGTCATAGGGAGGAGGGAACATAAAGGTATTTGAGAAATTTCATATATGTGTTTACATTTTGTTCCTTTTTCCCAATTCCAGGCATTCCAGAAGGGGCTTAGTGCTAAAAGCTGCATTCTACCTGTGGGAGGCAAAGTACTTACTACAGAGGAAGAATATAACTTATTATCTGATAAGCATTTCCCAGATCCTAATGGTAAGGCATTGGTTGCTTAAATTAGAATGATCTACACATTATAAATCTTCTTATATGTGTTTATATCTATAGTATCAAGCGTCTTGATCAGGGGTCCTCAAACTAAGGCCCGAGGGCCGAATATGGCCCTCCAAGGTCATTTACCTGGCCCTTGCTCAGGGTCAACCTAAGTCTGAAACTACTTGAAACCACACAACAACAACAACAACAACAACAACAACAATCTTATCTCATCAGCCAAAAGCAGGCCCACATTCCCCATTGAAATACTAATAAGTTTATACTTTTTACAATTGTTCTTCATCTTAATTATTGTATTGTTTTAAAGTGTTTTTGCACTACAAATAAGATATGTGCTGTGTGCATGGGAATTCATTCATGTTTTTTTTCAAATGATAATCTGCCCCTCCAACAGTTTGAGGGACTGTGACATGGCCCTCTGATTAAAAGGTTTGAGGACCCCTGGTCTTGACGTCATATACTTTTCTACTTTAACTCAAAGTATTAACTAAACAATTTTCTTAGAAAAACTTTTATTAGCTCTTAGATATACTAGTTATAGAATATATACCCATTTATTATTTTATAATATTTTAATTCACAAATTTCCCAAACTTTCTTGATTGTGTGATGTACATTTGGAATAAATTGGTCACCGTTCTTGTCTTTTCAATTTTTATTTAATTAACAGGGCAGAATAAGAAAGTTAAAAGACTGGATTATTTTATTTATTTATTTATTTATTAGACTTGTATACCGCCACTCCCAATTTGGCTCGGAGCGGTTTACAGCAGTAGATTAAAACAATACAACCAACTTTAAAATACAATAAAAACGAGAACAGACATAGTCCTGAGTTATTCACTAATTGAAAGCTTGTCGGAAAAGAAAGGTTTTACAAGCTTTCCAAAAAGCAAGTAGCTCTCAGATGGTTCGGGTTTCAACTGGCAAGGCATTCCATAAATAAGGGGCCACAATCGAGAAGGCTCTCTGCCTAGTAGAAGACAGATGATAGGTCCGGATGTTGGGGACTTCAAGCAAATTTTGGTCCTTGGACCGAAGTAATCTCTGGGGTTGGTAGGGGGATAAGCGCGCCCTCAGGTATGCCAGCCCCAGACCATGTAAGGCCTTAAAGGTTAGTACCAGCACCTTGAAAGTGATCCGGTACTCAATCGGAAGCCAGTGTAGCTGTTGTAGAATTGGGGTGATACGACACCTTGCCGGCACCCCGGCGAGAAGACGAGCCGCCACATTTTGCACCAGCTTCAGTTTCCGGATCACTGACAAAGGAAGGCCAATGTAGAGGGTGTTACAGTATTCAAGCCTTGAGATGACCGTCGCCTGGATCACCGTAACCAGGTCATTCCTAGATAGGAAGGGAGCCAGTCGCCTAGCCTGACATAGATGGAAAAACGCAGATCGGCTCACAGCAGAGACCTGGGCCTCCATTGTGAGCAGAGGGTCCAATAAGACACCAAGACTTTTTACAGAAGATGACGGACGTAGTGTCTCGCCATCCAGGGTAGGCAGCTGGATAATATATGTAGAATAATATATATAAATAAAGATAGTTGTGGTTCTTTTGCGTGTGGGGGGTGGGTGGGGTGTTTTTGAGACAGAGCAAAGATGTTTCAGCACATCAAGACAGCCCAATGAGAAAATGATCCGCCGTTCTGAGATTTGTTTGTATTTTGGGACTTTTTGCAAAAAGAAAAATTGTGCAAAAGGCATAGAACATTTTGGGCAAAATATACCATACACTCATTTATTTTTTGTGAAAGAACAATGAACACACACTGAAATGCAAAAAAAAAATTTAAAAATTGAAAAATTAGCAAAACCGCTTGTAATCTCACCCAGTGGGTAAATAAACATTTGAAATTCTTCCTTCTTGTGTTCCACAAATAATAAATTGTGCAGGTACAGCTGTAACAGGAGCTCCAATTTTTGTTTGCTTTGCATTGAATGTTTGTTGTGGTCCTAAGTTTCAGGGACTCTGCAGATAGGTGGCTTCTTTTGGCTGCAATCATAGGGCAAGCCACCTGTCAATTATAGTTAGGTTCCCTGGTCCTGCCCCCTTTTTAGGTTTTGGAGGGAATAGGAGCCAGTTTGGGTTCAGTCCACACAGGGAAGCTTTCCATGCAGGACATAATGCTAAGAGCTCCTGTAGAAAGCTTCGTCTTCTACGGCTTGGCCGGGGAGATATACAGCCCACAGCTTGGCCGAGGTTATACAGCCTTACAGCTCCTTTGCTGAGGGACTTCAGCCATCACCCAAGCCTGAATTCCTTCTTTTTTCCCCCTGGAAGTCTACAAAGCTCTGCTTGGTAAGGGTCGCTCGCGGAAACCAGATGCAGTTGGTACCGGGTGTAGGGGCTCCATGCCAACAGAGGCAAAGACAGACTGCCGAGATTAGAAGTTAAGGATTTCCCCATTAGTTAATGTACAGTTTATGAAGATAGTGCCTGTTCCCTGTGGACAAGATTGAGAGAGAGCCAATAGACTGTTAAGAAAGCCTTAAAGTACCTGTTTGTTTTCATTAATAAAGAACTTTGTTGAACCTTTAAGCAATCTAAATACTCTGTTTTAAGGAAATCCAAGGGCCTTTAATCTGAGGCAGCCCCGGCGTCCCATTGGGCACACAGAATTTATGTCCTGTCTACAGTCTTATGCACAGGCCCAGCGTGGGACAGCATATAAATGTTTGTATCCCTATGTTTTAATTTCTGCAGTGTAAATCGCCTGGAGCATCTCGGATGGAGGGCGATTAATAAGTAATTTGAGATGAGATGAGATGATATCACTCACAGCTACTTCTGAGGATGCACTCTGTCAGTTCTCAGAAATAGGTGGATTGTGTGTGTGATCCTTTAAAAAAAGAAACCTTGAGAGGGCAAATCCCCCTCACCTTAAAAAAAAGCAGAAAGAATGTATTTGTACGGAGAAAAGGAGAAGGAGCCGGGAATACAGACACTGCCCCGTAAGACAGTCAGCTGAGGCTCCTGAGGCAATTGAACTGAAGTCACAGGGAACATGTGGAATCTCACAGGCCTTGCATAAAGACGCAGGCATGCTAGAAGAGGTCTATACTGTCTGTTTTCTCAACATTAAGATGTGTGATGGAAGGCCGGGGGATTGGAGAAGAGGGTGAGAAAGAAAGGCATATATGTAAGATGTGAATTCTACGTCTGTACTTCAAACATTCTGTGCATCAGAAAAACCAAGAGCAGCAGCTAACGGACAAAAATGAGCAAACTGGAGAGTAATGTGTATAAGGAAAGGAGAGAGAACTTACTGGTTTCAGTCCCATGCAAGCTAAAACTGTTCTGGGGAAAAGGCATAGCTGGAGTTATAGGGTGAGATGCAACATTTTGTGACAGCCATGTCTTACTTAAGCCCCATCTACACCTGCCACATAATGAAGTGAACTGCATTATGAGTCTACACCGCCATATAATGCAGTTCTATGCAGTTAAACTATTATTTATTTATTTACCATATTTATATACCGCCCCTCTCAACCCAAAGGCGACTCGAGGCGGTTTATAAAACTACATCATGAAACTGCATTACATGGCATTGTAGATGGGGCCTCGGTGTATGTAATGAGGTTTTTAAAAATACTTGAAATGTTTTATTTTAAAATTAGCCGTCCCCTGCCACGCGTTGCTGTGGCCCACATGGGTGTTTTGTGTGGGAGGTTTGGCCCTATTCTTGCTGGGGTTCAGAATGCTCTGTGATTGTAGGTGAACTATAAATCCCAGCAACTACAACTCCCAAATGTCAAGATTCTATGTTCCCCCAACTCCACCATTGTTCACATTTGGGCATATTGAGTATTCGTGTAGTTTGGTCCAGATCCATCATTGTTTGAGTCCACAGTGATCTCTGGATGTAGGTGAACTACAACTCCAAAACCAAAGGACACTGCCCACCAAACACTTCCAGTATTTTCTGTTGGTCATGGGAGAACTGTGTGCCAAGTTTGGTTCAATTCCATCGTTGATGGGGTTCAGAATGCTCTTTGATTAACAGAACTCAAAAACCACTGGACGAATTGACACCAGATTTGGACACAAGACACCTAACAACCCAATTTATGTTCTTCACTCAAAAAGAATTGATTTTGTCATTTGGGAGTTGTAGTTGCTGGGATTTATAGTTCACCTACGAACTATAAATCCCAGCAACTACAACTCCCAAATGACAAAATCAATTCTTTTTGAGTGAAGAACATACATTGGGTAGTGAGGTGTCTTGTGTCAAAATTTGGTGTCAATTCGTCCTGTGGTTTTTGAGTTCTGTTAATCCCGCAAACGAACATTACATTTTTATTTATATAGATAAATGAACCCTGATACCAGGAGTATAAGTGGAAGCATTCTGCAACAGGTGATTGGGAGGAAGTCAAATCATAAGAGCTGGAAGAGACCACATGTTGCACCTCAGAGTAGATTCACCTTGCTGGAGAACACCAAACTGCACACATCCAGAAGTCTTTATAGTTTATTAAAAATAAAACGTAAAAAAGTTCTTAAAAGCAAAGGTTAATGTTCCAAAAGATCAATATAACATAGCACTTGAAACTTAATCCAAAAAGGCATCAGCAAAGCCAAACCCAAGAGAACATGACAAAGTCCTGCAAGATAATCCAAAGCTGCAAGATAATCCATCCTAGTTTAGGCAAGCTCCTTAAGTAAACGTGAAGTTGCTTTGACAAAGATCTGGTCTCAAACACACTGTTTAATACCCTTTGCAAAACATGAAGGCGTTTCTCTGGCGTCTGGCCTCCCTCTTGTTAGCTATCCTTTCACTCCCTCGAATTTGGAATTCCAACCGGTCAGCCCGATCTAAAGTTCCCATATCGTCAAGGTCAGTCTGTTCGTTAGTGTTAGCCTGTTTCCCTGCTTGCTCATTATCAGGCTGAGAACCAAGCCGAGAGCTGTCCTCCTTTTCTGAGTCAAGCTGCACCTGGCTATTTTCAGTATCAACACTCTCATGTCTTACTATGGGAAACTGCATTTCTTCACTGTCTATAACAGGCATTTCTTCACTGTCTATAACAGGGACATTTTGAACCAAACTGTGAACCTGAGTCCCATCATCCTCATCAGAAACTCTCTGATTTCAGCTGAGTCACAACACCACATGGGCCATCTAGTGCAACTTCCTGCCATGCAGGAAAAGCACAATCAAATCACCCCCGTCAGATGGCCATCCAGCCCGTTTAAAGCCTCCAAGGAAGGAACTTCCACACACTAGAACACAGCGAGCTGAACAGTTTAACAGTCAGGAAGTTCTTCCTAATGTTCAGGTGGAATCTCATTTCCTGTCATTTGAACCTGTCGCTCTTAGTCTCCAGGGCTGCAGAAAACAAGCTTGCTCCCTCTTCCTTATGACATACTTTCACATATTTAAACATGGCTCTCATGTCTTCTCTAACTTTCTCTTCTGCAGGCTACATAGACTCAGCTCATTAAGCCGCTTCTCATAGGGCATGGTTTCCAAACCTTCAATCATTTTCATCATTTACAAGCTGGACATGTTCTTGCTTGGGAAGTCAGATCTGGCCACAGTGGTCCACGCTCTTGTTACATCCCGAATAGATTACTGCAACGCACTCTACGTGGGGTTGCCTTTGAAGACTGTTCGAAAACTTCAATTAGTCCAGCGGGCAGCAGCCAGATTACTCACCGGAGTGTCATAAAGGGAGCATACCACCCCTCTGTTATGTCAGCTCCACTGGCTGCCGATCCAGTTCTGAGCACAATTCAAAGTGCTGGTTTTGACCTACAAAACCCGCCTCGGAGTTTAAGATCTTCTGGGAGGGGGCTGCTCTCGGCCCCACCTCTATCACAAGTGAGATTGGAGGAGCAGGGCCTTCTCGGTGGGGGCCCCTCGCCTGTGGAATTCACTCCCCAGGGAAATTAGGTCATTGACATCCCTCCTCTCTTTTAGAAGGAAACTAAAAACATGGATATGGGACCAGGCCTTTGGGTAATCTGGCAAATAGACAAAGGACAATGATGACTAGAATTGATAGGATTTGACAATGTGGAATGAACTTACGGATTCTGAGCTGGCGAATGTTGAGCATTGGATTGGTTTTATTGATAGTGATGCATAATTGATTGTTTTAATTGTTTTATAATTGCTGTTTATATATGTTTTATCTTATTGTTTGTGTTGGCATCGAATTGTGCCTTTTGTAAGTCCCCCTTCGGGGGTTGAGAAGGCGGGGTAGAAATGCGCGAAATAAATAAATAAATAAATAAGTTATCAATATATCTGTTCTACCAGAAGTAATGTTTTAGTAGTCGCAAGTAAATATTTTTATTCTACTTAAAAAAAACTATTGTTACCAGTTGCTAACATTATGTCACAATCAGAACATAATTGTCCCTGTTACTTTCCTGCCAAAAGTAAAATATTATGGGTAACATTATTATCTGTGCAAGAAAGAAGGCACATTGAGTTGGGCCCCCATCTAGAGACCTCACCCACTCACCTGACATCTTACACCACTTCTGTATAATTGTTTGCATCAAATGGCTTTGAGTTTTGAAACCTGTAAATATTTTCAATGTGTTTTAAAGGTTCCAATGACAAGGAGAATGCCCCAGCTTTTGTTGTTCTTCCAAAAGATTTTCCAGTCTATCTGTGGCAACCGTTCCTCAGACATAGTTACTTCTGCTTTACGGATGCGGAGGCTCAAAAGAAATTGGGCACAGCACTAAATGATTGCATCAGACACCTAAATCATGGTAAGTTTAGCAGACAACATCTAATATCGTTGATGCTTCTTCATTTGGAAAGAGACTGATCTGCAGATTTTCCTGTCAGTGGCTGGCCAATCAATTCATTTTGCAAAAATGTACCCCTTTTCTGTAGGTCAGTTGTGCTAAATACCACACCTAGAATGGAACTACAAGTTGTGAATGGCATGAAGATGCTATCGTGTTGTGCATTTTCCTGCTCCTTTCAGCATCACTTTGTTGTATGGCCCTAGATGTCTGTGTTATGATTGGACCGTGACAAGAACGATGTTGCAGGGGACAGGGATAGAACTTGGATATTTGGTTGGGTTTGGGGAAGATGGAAGTTGGGTTGGCAGTCCTGTAATGTATTTCCTAACTTTATGTTCTTGTCTAGCGGTTTGAAAAGGAGGGGAACTGGAGCATGGCTGAAGGCATGGTCCAAAGGCATTTGATGCAACAACCTCACAGAACTTGGCCAGATCTAGATCTGGCCAGTGCCAGGTTCTACAGCCCTTACTAAACAAATTCAGGAATCTCCCTGAACACATTGATACCAATGCTTTCTCTTTGTTGCATGCTGGTTCTGCTCATGGTCTCTTATGAAGTCACAGGCTTGGCTCCAGGGTTTCTGAATGACTATATGCTCCTATGATATGACTGCCCTCTGGCCTCCTGGATTTTGAGATTTGAAGATGAGGGAGGCCCCGAATCTTTGCATCTTCGTAGATATTCTCTGATGGAGACGTAAGAGTTGGCCTTCTCAGTGCTCTGCCACTCTTTTCCTAGAGAGCCTAAGGGCCTTTCCAGACACACCCAAAATACATGACCTGTTGAGGCGAGGGAGAGACTATTTCCTCTTTAAAAACCTCTTTGCTGCCTTATACTGATTCAGTTTCTTCTTTTATATTGGCAGGGACTTTCTATGCTGTTAAACCTTTGTACTTTATATCGCAGGCAATGAAACACTCTTGTGTATAACAAAGTAACACAGTTTATTTATAACTTCTGGCTCCAACACTTGTGGTTACATTTGTGTTTTGTTGCAGTCTTGAGGCTTACAGTCAGTACCATTTACTTGGTTAACTTTTCTGAATAAACTATCAATGTTTCACATTCACAAACATGTTACTTGCTTTACACACTCTAGGCTGAATTATTTTCTGAACTAAGGCAAAACTAGCCTTCTTTATGTTCCTTAAAACTCGAGCTCTATTTAACTAACTGTTTCTCTATATCAGAAGTCTTTAACACATCTTCATAACTACTTATTTCTATCAGGCACTCAAAAACCAACTCTCCTCTTTACACACAGATCCCTAACTGTCATTTTCAAACTCCCTCACTCTAACTGCCTCTTTCAGAACCTTGGCTCCACCCCTTTGGAATGTTCAGCTCTGCTCTCCCCAACTGTCATTTTGGCCTAGCAGCCTTTTTAAATCCTGGGCCTAAACTAATCTGCATATGACCAATCGGCTTCACATATGCAAATGAATCTTATCTCTGCTGTTGCTACCCTGTCTGTACTTATTCTTCCCTATCTGCCATATGTAAACATAGAGCTATACAACTTTAACATAGAGTAGCAATTTCACTACACCTGTCTCACTTTTACCTGAGTCCTCCAAACGAGAGAAAGCCTGGGGTTGTGGGAGGGGATGGAGACTGAAACGTGGGTTGTTTTAACCCGCTTCCTCCCGGGTTTTAGGTAAGCGTAGAAGGGCCCTAAGCCAGTGTTCCCAACCTTTGTTTTGGATGTCACCTCCCACAATTCCTAACAGCTGGTAGGGACCAAAGGTTGGGAACCACTAGCTAAGCAGACTGTGTTCTTAACCATTCATCAGCAGCATGCTCAACTGGATGTTGGCCTGCAGTAGTGAATTCAAATGACTACATGCAGTGAAATGTACAATAAAATCACATACTTGTGTTCAGGACTTAAGCCAGAATACCCCACTTATTTCCCTTTGTCCCTTTTTTCTATATCCTTCTCCGTAAATAGACACTAATAATTATGTGAATCTATAGACTTTGGTAAATGCAGTCTGTAAAGCAGGCAGCTGATGTCAATTTCCTCCAAACCATTTTAAAAAGGAAAGCATTTCTCTTGCCTGGCTTCTAATCCCCATTATTCATTTAGAAAATGTGGTCATCTGGTGATCTTTGTGAAATATAATTCCTTTTGTTTTACACTGGGCAGGCATTAAGAATAGATCAACTTTTCCTGGCAACGATGCCAAGCATCTCTGACTCAAAAATTATGAGTCAAAAGCTTTCATTTGTTCAGGTTCTTTTTGCAGAACTGTTAGTAGGCTCACAGTGCTCTTGGCAGCTGCCATTCCTAGCTGAATTTCAGCCCATTGTTCCACACTTATGGAGCTAAAGCTGTGCTAGCAAAGTGTGGAGAAGATGACCTAATAAGTTTCTCCCGGCTCCTAACATTTAGGAATATACTATTTTTTATTCTTGCTTTCCCTCTTTCTGCTTTCGATTCTTGTCCCATAAAATTGCTATGCTGTGAAAGGATGTCTCATTGTGTAGTTCATGGCAGGGGGTTTGGCTAGATGGCCCATGTGGTCTCTTCCAACTATTATTCTATTTTATTTATTTATTTCCTGTTTTGCTCTATTGTAAATTGTTTTTATATGTTGTACACCGCCGCGAGTCGCCCTAGGGCTGAGAGCGGCGGTCAATAAATGCAGCAAATAAATAAATAAAATAAATAAATTTATTTCCGGTATTTCTATCCTGTTCCTTCTCAACCCCCGAAGGGGAACTCAGGACAGCTTACAGTTGGCAGCATTTCGATGCCACTACATATAACAGTGCCATAAATAACAATTAAAACAATAAGTAAAACATTCATAAAAACAGTAAAAAACAGTATTAATAGCTGTATCATCATTCCAGTCAATTCCATATCCAATTCCATGTCCAAAGGGCTATCTCTGTCTGTTGTCCAAAAGCCTAGTCCCAGAAACACAACTTCAATTTCTTCCTAAATGACAGGAGGGACAGAGCCGATCTTACCTCGTTGGGAAGCGAGTTCCACAGGCGGGGGGCCACAGCCAAGAAGGCCCTGTCTCTCGTCCCCGCCAGATATATTTGCGTGATCTTAAACTGCCATAAAGTCTTCTTCCATCCACAGTGATTCTTCTTTTGAGAAGTTTGGGAGCTCTGAGGCCAGGCATGTAGCCCGGGGGGGGGGGGGGGGGGGGGGGGGTTGAGGGCTTCAGCCCCCCCTGAAATTCTCATGGTGGTCTGCAGAAAGGCCTTACTGGTACATTATTTAAACTGTTATGTTTATTCATATCATGATCTGATCACCATGCTCAATATATCTCATATGCATGGGGGTATTGGGGTAATGATACAAAAGGTTTGCTAGGGTAGACCCTCTTTCACTCAGACTCCCCCCCCCCCACCGAATCAAACTCCCCCTGAAAAAAACCCCCCCCCCCCCCCCCGAATTGAAATCCTGGCTACGGGCCTGTCTGAGGCATTTACCTCTTCCTGCATCAGTGCTTAGATTTAAGTGGGAATGGTGGGAAAGTTTACATTTTTCACACCATTCCTGCAGAATGTTATGGAAAAGTGTGCGTACACAGTCTCTGAGAGGTTCAAATGGTGTATGCATTGATATGTGTAAGTGTTCTGTCGCACGCTGGGCCTGTGAAGAATTTCCTTTAGAACAGGTCGTGCAATCTTTGCCCAGCGGGAAGCCAGGGGGCCTAAAGAGAAGTTCTCAGAGGTTTTTCACCACAAATAGTCTTTAGATGGCTTGTGAAGTACAACAAAGTCTTTTATTAATGAACAATCAAACAGAAACTTCTCTTGTCTTCAGTAAAGTTAAGCAAATGATTCCAAGCTTTTAGGCAACTGGTGAATACCTAATCTTGCCCACGAAGGACAGGCAACTGTCTTCAATAACTTCTTCTTTAAAGGAAAATCCCCTTTTTAACTTCTCTCAGGCTGACTGTAATCTAACCCTTACTGATGTGGGCTCTGCTACCAGGTCGAACTGCTTCTCGAACGCCAAGTGGACCTACCAGTAAAGGCTTAGATGTTCTCCAGCTGGAGTTCTTTGGTCTTTAGCGCTGTTTTCCTGGAAATTCTTTGGAGACTCTTAAGACTGTTCTCCCCCAGAAAGTCTTAAGGGTTGAAGCTTTTGTACAGGGGAAGCTTGCACACATCCTGTACATTAGTTTGCCTTGCTGAGACTAACAAAAAAATGGCTCCCTTCCCTTCCCAATTGCCCTGAGCAAGGGGCGGGACCAAAACTTAACGATGATAGACCGGTGACTTGCCCTATGACTGCAACCAAAAGAAGCCACCTATCTGCAGAGTCCCTGAAACCTTGGACTGCAAGCAAACATTTAATACAAAGCAAATAAAGTTGGAGCTCCTGGTACAGCTGTACCAGAACAGTAAGGTTTGTGTGTGTGTGCCATTCGGCCTGCCCCTTTGGGGGCCCAAAGAGCATTTGCTACTCTAGAAACTGTTGTACTGCATCTGGGTAATGCTTATTGTAAATATTTGGGGATATCCTGAGCAAACACCAAGTTGTGCAAAATGAAGATAGCTTAATTCTACAGATATGCAAGTTAGTGCATAAATCCTTCAATTTTTCAGTTACTATAAATACAACACATGATTGCAGGCCTTCATCCTGTTTGGAAGTGACCTCATCTCATTTCTGTTGGTGGTTAGCAGCTCTTCAACCACATGATCTGGCTAAGGAAGCCTCACAACCCTGCATCTTTGTGTACCTAGACAATTCTGCTTTTATTACAATGGAGAGCGCTCACTGAAAGATCGCAGCTCTTTTTTTCAGTCCAGTCCTGCAGAAATCTGCCCCTAATCAGTTTCTAAACCTACCAGCAATGGTGAAGTGTTAAACCACAAAGCTGCTTTTCTATGCAGTTAAAGACTTACGTCAGTGAAGATTTCTTGATGTCCCTCTTTGTATCAGGAGGATATGTTTCCTGCCTTGAGCCATAAGTCAGTTG